ATCAGAAAGCCATAAAACAAACACACACACACACACACACACACACACAGAGTCAGGCCCTGGACTGAGATTTATTGCATAGTACTCTTCCCATATACAGCAAGATGCCAATTTGGTTACCAGTACCCTTCGGCACAACAAAAATTCCTCTGCAATATTCAGTATCTAAATACGTTAAATTATTAATGGAAAATTTCAGCCAATTAGGATAGAACTGGAATGGCACACAGTACAAACACAAGCTCTGATTGTGCAGTAAGGTGTATTTGGACAGAGCCCAGCACCTGTGCAGAGCAGGACCGCCCATGGGGGGGGGGCAAGTGGGGCAATTTGCCCCAGGCCCTGGGCCCCTAGGAGCCCCCACGAGAGTTTTTCGAGGCCCCTGGAGCAGGGTCCTTCACTCGCTCCGGGGGCCCCGGAAAACTCTTGCGGGGTCCAGGCCCCCGGAGCTTCTTCCGCTCCGGGTCTTCGGTGGCAGTTCGGCGGTGGGGGGTCCTTCCGCTGCGGGACCCACGGCGAGGGGTCCTTCCGCTCCAGGACCTGCCACCGAAGTGCCTTGAAGACCCGCGGCGGGGGGTTCTTCCACCCTGGGACCCGCCGCCGAAGTGCTGGGTCTTCGGCGGCAATTCGGCGGTGGGGGCCCCCTGCCGCCGAAGACCCCAGGCCCCCTGAATCCTCTGAGTGGCCCTGGTGCAGAGTCTAAAGAAGCTGTGCATTAAAGTAAACGGAATTCTGTGCTGGGCTCCACCCGGCCACATCGCCTGCCAGGTTCAATGAAGTGAATGCGATGCACTCAAAAACAATACAGAAATGTGAAAAGTGAGCAGAACAAATTCATCCAGTTACTATTCTGAATCTTGAGCATGGTGCGTAAAATAAAATTAGTGGGCACTTAAAAAAAAGTATCAAATATGCAGCTGCTGGCATGATATGAAAAGTCTGGCAGTGATGGGAGAAGGATAAAAAATAATAATAATAAATTAATTAATATATAGCACTTATATAGTGCTTTTCATCAGTAGATCACAAAGAGCTTTACAAATGAGGTCAGTATTATTAGCCTCATTTTGCAGATAAAGAAACTGAGGCACAAATAGATGATGGCACTTAGGAGCCAAAATCCCTTTGGAAAATATTTAGGCTCCTAAATTTTAGGCATTGCAACCCTGAGTGTAGCAATGCCTAGACACCTTCAAAAAACTGGGTCCAAGTGGCATAGTCTGGAACTGAACCCAGGTCTGCTGAGCCCCGGTTCAGTGCTCTATCCACTAGGAAACACTCCATTCCCAGATGACCTAATAGTTCAATTCCATTTCTGATTTCTAGGATTTGGTTATAATTGCATAAATCATTACTCAACCATTTGTTATAAAAATTCAGCAACTTTTTAAAAACAGAAGGAATGATATACTTCAAGAAATTATACTAGGTACCTAAACTAAACTAATCAGGTGGATGAAATAATATGTTATTCTTACCTTCTCTGAAAGATATCTTATTTTAGACACCCATGATTATTACTGTAGTTAGCCTGTTCTCAACAGCATCTTACGTAGATATCTTTCTTGAAGAAATTCATACTCAATAAACTTCTTTCTAAAAATATGTAGCCGGTAGGAAAAGGCCAAAAATTACTAAGGGATATTGCCCCTCAGCTAGAATGTATACTATATTATCTTATTTAACAACCTGTTATTTGAACTTCAAAGCCAGGCATCTGGATGTGTTTATGTATGGACTGTATGTCTCACAGTACTAAATGTTAGCTCTATCGATTCAGGGACTGAATTTCATTCTGATCCATCATTCTGTTTCCTAAACAGCTGATATCTTGCTAAAATTGAATAACTATGTTGCCCTAATTTCAACCACACTAGTTAGAGCTTTATTCTCCCCCTAGCTCTTCCATGGCCTTCCATGTAGGCCCTGGAACAGGCCTGCATATGTGGTTGAGCTATTCCTGAAGCTTGTCCATATCTTGGAATAGTTTTTCATTCATTCATCAAGATGTGCACTGCAGAGTCAAAAGGGCTAGGAGATTTGATCTGAATTAGTTTCTTCTACTCCACTGCACCTTTCCCCAGGGCTTTGTGAGTCAAAAAATCCCAGATCACCATAGCCTAAAATGTATATACACCTCTACCCCAATATAACATGAATTTGGATATAATGTAGTAAAGCGGTGCTCCGGGGGGTGGAGGGGCTGCGCACTCTGGCGGATTAAAGCAAGTTCGATATAACATGATTTCACCTATAACACTGTAAGATTTTTTGGCTCCCAAGGACAGTATTATATCGGGGTAGAAGTGTATATAAAATCTATTCAGCTCTACAGTGACAACCAGTGGATATCACCCAGCAATACTGCCCTCCCAAAAATACTTGAATACTCATTTTTCTTCTTCATTCGTGTGTAGTGAAAGGAATGGGTCTTGCTCCTGCAGAAAGCAGATCCTCAGCAAATCACTCCCGAAAGTCATGTTCTGATGGTGTAATTTTCTAGTGGAAGCATGCGTAAGGCAGCCTATTCAAGTGATTAGAGCATGAGACTACCACTCAGGAGACCTGGGTTCTATTGCTTATCCAGAGTGAGTAGGGACAAATCGCTTAATCACTATGTGCCTCAGTTTCTCCACCTTTGTAAAGTATTTTGAGATCCTAAATTGACATATGCTGTAAGAGCTCAGAATTATTAATATGTGGTGGAATGGAAGGGCATTGAACAAAGGCCAGATTTCAGACTTCCTGTTGGCTCTGCTGCACAATCTTGTGTAATATCTGGATTTTATCCTCTGACTGAGCTGAAATATCCTCCAATTATCACTGAATCTTGAAAGAGGGTAATTTTAGGAGAATAGTGCCTTCGGCAAGCAGACTAGTATTCTCAAATGTATTCCATGTTAATAAATGTATTTGTACTTGGGTTTATTGCTACTGCAATAAAAGACTTTTTGTTCTGGCAGCAGCAAACATAATCTTTTCCTTAAAAAAAAGCATTGATATTATTTGAAAGGGTTTCTTTGACACAAGAAGGGTTTCTTTGATTCTTTGTATCAACAATTCCAGTGCTGGCTAAACTGAATATGTCTTCATAAATAATACCATGGGACATAAATGTATCATTTTAATCAGTTTAGGAGATCACTGATACGTTATTATGTCCCTGTTCTTGGGAAGGGAGAACATTTCCTGGATTAGCTAAGAACAAGGCATGACTTTTATAGTATCTGTTTAGTTAGCCACCAGCCTGAAGAATCTGAGCTAGAGATATTACAAATATTATTTAAAAGTGCAGTTAAAAGTTCCTTCAACAAAGAAGATGACTTTCCAGTTGAACAACAGAGAGGAACGCTTGTTTTCCAAGGAAGTAACTGAACTGAAATGCTTTGAGGGCTTGCTGAAGAAAAATATGTACATCTTTCTGATGTCAGACTAGTGTTAGAAATTCCCATCCAAGCACAACCAATGTTTTCAGCTGTATCCTTCTGATAAATTTCCACATTCAAATTAAAGACCTGAGAAACTCTGTAATGTATAGCTAGTGACTTTTATATGACATGAATAACAATGATTCATGTTGAATAAGCCTTGCTATATGAAACACAAAGACACAAAACTCTGTTTTTCTTTTCTGTATGATGCCTACTCGTCATCTAGGATGACAAACATGGAATCAGGAAACTAACTTAATGTAGAGCTTATTCTTAATAAAGCAGCACAATTTGCCAGGGGCTTTTGTAGAGAGGATGGGAAAAAGCTATTAATCTACATTCCTTTGTTACTCTGCTTTGGCTGGGCTAGGTCTTAGTTACAGGTGGAGGTTCTGGACTTACTGGTTATCTCCAAAAGGAATTATACTAGATAGCTTTGTGAAACAGCCCTCCTCAAGAAATGTATCAATAAAACAGCATTTCTCCAAGTGAACATAGGCCTTGGCTACACTTGCAGCTGTACAGCGCTGTGAGGTAAACCTGTCTTCATACAGCTGAGTAGGGAAAAGCGCTGCAGTCTGTCCACACTGACAGCTGCCAGCGCAGTGGCGTGGCCACACTTGCAACATTTGCAGCTGTGTTGGGAGCAATGCATTATGGGCAGCTATCCCAGCATTCATGTGGCTGCAACGTGCTTTTCAAAATGGGGGGAGGTGGGGTGGATTGTGACAGGGAGTGTGGGGGGAGAGAGAGTGCATTTTGGAGCATGTCAGCTCTCTATTTTGCAAGTTCTGAACTCTCGGCCCCCTGCTCATTCATTCACTCACTCAAAGCAAGCTGCAAACTGTTTGCTTTTCTCTGTGGCACGAGCTTTGAAACCGGCACTTCCGCATTCCTGCAGCCGGTCACAACTATGGAGACGATTGGCCACTTGACAAGGTGATTAGTACAGCGCTGCAAGCGTTTACACTCACACCCGTGAGTCGTAGCCACTCCGCTGCAGCTGTTATTCCTCTCGGAGAGGTGGAGTACCTGCAGCTGTGTACCCAGGGTGATACAGCGCTGTACATGCCTTGCCAGTGTAGCCGGTCAGTGAGTTACAGCGCTGGGGGAGGCTTTACAGCGCTGTAACTTGCAAGTGTAGCCAAGCCCTCACTTTCTCTCTCTCTCTCTCCTCCACTCCTAGCCTTTGTCTCTCTCACATTACAGTCACCCTGTATTTAAGTTTATCTATTTCCCTTAGGCATTCTCAGAACACCCATCACTGAAGAATGTAGATGCCAATGTGCAACTAGTGTCACTAAAGCCTATTATTAATGCCATTGATTTATGTCTCCACTAATGGATCTGTTTTAAACACCTAATTGTCTGATACCCTATAAAGGAGATTCAAAGTTTTTAATCTTTAGACTATGTACCTGTTTACTTTTCCTCCTTTGCCAGTAAACACATGTAAAAGTATATGATATATAATATTTGACTGTAATCTTGTTAATATTTATATGCTACTTTTACATAAAAATCAGTACAGATTTATTCACATAAATAAGAAATGATGGTAACACTTACTAAAGACATCTCCTCTAAGGCTTTGTTCATGACCAATCTGGTTCTCAAGGTCCTCTTGTTCTTCCTCCTGTTCCTCCTCTACAGCATCTTCAGTCTCTTTCTCCTCTACATCATATGTCCCTCCAATGTAAACACCATCTTCATAGTCAAAGGATGGCAAGTGAACCTTAGAAGCTGGTGTCATGGCTGGTTCTGGGATCACATTCTTGATCTCTTCATGTTTTTTCACACTGCTCTTGTGTGCAAGAAGTTTCTTGATTGTGTCCTTGATGGCTCCAGGGATTCTTGTGACTTCCTTCACCAAATTTTCGGGGATAACTGTAACCAACAATGAAATGTCAAATATACACTTGAAGTAACTGGACCACCCCAGAACCTTAGTGCTTTTAAACCGATAACACACGATCCACTGCAATTTTCAAAGAAACTATATGGCCAAATTCACTGTTGTCATATGTAGGTGGAACATAGAGCTGAACCTGCATACTCTAACCAGTGAACTTGGCCCATAGTACATACAACCTTTCCCCACTGTTTGATTACATTTTAGTGAAAATGTTCTAGTCTTATCTGCTGCAATTTAAAAAGCAATACTCAGTAGTGATGGGTGAACGTCAAAACTTTCAATTCAAATGGGCACCCAGAAGTTCAGGAGCTTATCTAGCTTATCATAACTTCCTGCTTTTGCAGGAGTTGCCTAGAAGTCTTACACAAATATTCTGTCTCCAGAGGTTTCCAATATTTCTGCCGCCAGCTGGCCACAAAATACCACAAGAACATCCAGTTTTGTGGTATTTTGGAACTTCTGCCATTGTCCAGAATCCAAAAACTACAGAAGCTGCTGGAAATGAAAAACCATGAGTGTGTATGTGTGTGTGAGAGAAAATATTAACCAAGCTTTTTCAAACCTGAAAAAAAGAGGGAATGGGATTCGAATTTGGGGTGGTTTTGCCCATCCCTCCTACCTAGTAGAGTATAATTAAGCCAAATATCATTTATACCTAGACAGCAAACTACAAAGAACATCACTGGTAAAATTTCCTAAGGGATGCTTTTAAATTTAAGCTGCAGCCCCATTTTTTCGTGCAATGTTTTCCTTGGCAATGACCTCCAAACTTAAATGTATTTCTTAATTTTTGTTTTTTACATTCCTCTCTCCTGTCTCCATGAACCCCAAACTATGTTGGAATTGCACAAGTGGTGGGGTGGGGACAGCTTCCTTAAAAGCCCTCTGCTGCATTTCCAGGGGAAGGAGCAGCCAGGATTGCTATCACACCGAGGGTGGGTTGGCAGAGACGGGCATATATTTTCCTTCTGTGAGTGATGACACAGGTAAGGAGCAGGGTTACGGTAGAGGGGGAGATTGGGGCAAGTTTTGTGTTTCTGGGCCTGGGGGGGGGGGGGGAGGTGGGTTGGTTATGTAGAGCTGAGATTTTATTTAGAGTGCTTTTGTTTGGCTGTTTTTCTCCCCCTGTGCAGATATTGGGGATTACTTTCCTCTGCACCTTACACTAGTTCATACCCTTTATTCCAACCTTGGTGATTTGGCTCTGATGGATTAGCTGACATCCCTCCCATTTAGGTGTTCACTGGGCAGAGGAGCTTTCACCTCTCTCCTTACTAAGGAAAGCTTTAGATGTTATATCTCAGAATAGGTATCAGAGGGTGGGCCTCATCCTCTGTTATTGTTAAATGAAAGATTGGTTCTATCTAAAATACTTATATGCCCCCTATTACTGTAGCATCTGAGAGCCTCGCAAGCTTTAATGTATTTAACCTCACAACACCCGTAAGGTGAGGTAGTGCTATTATGACCATTTTACAGATGGGGAACTGAGTCACAGAAAGACAATGTATTTTCCAACCTCACAGAGGAAGCCTAGTGGGACAGGGAATTGAACCCAGGACTCCCAAATCTTAGGCTAGAGCGCTAACCACCAGGTCACCCTTCCTGGTTGATAATAAAACACTGGCCATCCATTATGTGGCAAAGGATGAAACTCTGACTTCACACATATGGCAGAGATGTGGTGGGATGACAGCACAGGACCAACTTTGGCTAACAGAGACCAGATGGGTATGTGGTAGAGCATGAACTGAAGGGAATAATTAAGAAGGATGCCATGGCTCAACTGTTTACATCTGACCAAAAGCATAGGAAAGCCACTGCCCCAAAATTACACCTGATAGTGCTTCTCCGTGTGATCTGCAAGTCCCAGGAAAGAGATGGGAACAGATCTGGTGATATAGATCACTCACTGATACAGCAGAAGTTCCTGTACAAGCTGAGGAAGTTCCTACTTATGGCATCAAAGGCACTGAGGGAGACAGTGCCTAAGGAGTTTTAAAATCCACACAGATAACAAGTCTTCCAAATCAGCTCAGGACTTCATGGCTGCCATGACAATCCTAGGATTATCCCATGTCATTGTATGTTCCAGCCACACTCTGAATCTGTTTGGGTTAGGAACATACATTGACATGTTTCTTCTGGTTTGAGTTCAGAGCCCCTCTCTCCTGTTGGGGTGGGGGATCTGCTTTCATGGTCTGCCCCTGGATGTTAATGAGACCTGAGCATTCCAGAGAGTTCTAGAGGAGAAGACTTTCTTGCTCACAGAACACTCTCAGTAGGTTAGCAGAACTTTATTATAGTCTTTGAAGAGATTGGGGGTGATGGGGGATGAAGTTTCTTTTAGTAATTTGAGGGATAGGGAGAAGTGGATATTTTCCCCTTTGTTTCTGCTATCTAGGGGTTGTATATCTGGGGAGGGGTATGCTGCTTTTTTTGAATTGCATTTTTAATTGATGGCAAGGATATCTAGAATAGGTTCTCTTTTCTGTGTGTTTCTTTAAATAGTAGTAGCAGAAAAAAAATCAGCAATTACAAATAAAATAATTAAATGTGTAACATGGAGAGTAGGGGAAAAGGTAGATCACATCAGCTCCCCTTTAACACATTGCTATTAGTTTGAATTTGTCCCTTTTTCAAAAGCCCAAAAGTGGCTACATTTTCTTTTTCAATGAACTGTCCCACATAGTTTCTCTGGGAGGTACTTAGTGATGTATTCAGGTTTTATGAGGCTGCAGCTGCAGGTATAAAGCAAACCAGTGCCAATATAAATAAATCAAAATCTCAGATGTTATTTTTCTTTCCTTTGGATAATAGTTCCAGGCTCATTTGCCATACATCTGCATGTCATGACTTTCTTAATGTGTTGCTTAGCAAGCCTTCCCCCTGGAGGATGGTGCTATAAAGAACGTACTGTATAATTTAGCCGATATGGTTCGCTGAGTCTTTACTCAGAACACAGCAAGAAAAATTAACAGGAAAACCCCATTCCCAACAAATTTCCTCTCAACAATCAGTAACACAAAACTCCAGGCTTTTAATAAAGAGCCTGTGGAGGTTTTCAAGTCAAGTCTGACTGCCCAGCAAACCTGAACATCTGCTTTCAGTTTCTGCTTTGAAGCCTTCCTTTTGAAATGAAAAATTCTTATAGCTCAACCTAATAACCTTTATGGTGCCAAAAAGAAAGAAAATAGGGGCAAGGAAACCAACCTACAGATGTGATAAAAATATGGGGACAAAGGTGCACAGTCCACACACCTTTTTGGTTTGTAATAATATTATGAAAAGCTGCATACTCTCATTTTAGAATCACGGGTGAATGGAGGTTGGGCTGGGGGCAGCTTTTTGGAGGTATCACTAATCCTTTTTCCAATCGGATTCCTGTCTTAAAGTAGCCTAAGGTGCTAAATTTAAGCCTTCTTAAGTCTGGATGTCAGCAACAGCTGGAGAGGATCCTTCCCCATATTCATCTGGAAAATCTTATGGGCCCACAACATGTTCTGTAGAATCTACTGTCATCAGAGTTTGCTAACTTCCACATATGGACATCACAGGAAGGAACAGCCTGAGCCTCCATGAGAATGTGGAATGCAGTGGAGAAAGCCAAAGGCCAAACTGCTTAAGACTAAGGCTGTGAGGCTGGAATTTTTGAGAAAAACCCTCAATATATAATCCTATATTTATTGAACACAAACCTTCATGCATTTATCAACAACTTTGATCCATTTCTCCCCTGCCATTCTTTATAAATCTCATATCTGGCAGTATATAGATTAGTACCTGTCAGTCATTCTTTTACATTTTGTGTTTATAATGCCTATAGGAAAATGCATCAGCTTTCAAAGGTACTTTAATTCACAGAGAATTAAAACAAAAGACCTGTGCAAGCAACAATGCCAGTGGAGGCTAAGGGCTAAAAATGAGTTTTTTCTGTAAACACGTTCTGTGCAAGATTAAGAAACCAAGGAATTGGTGACTAATGCCGGAGTTAAGCAGGTTGAGTTGGAAAGAACATAGAACAATTGCTAGACTCCAGCTTTTCGTGTGCTGTGCTATACAAACAGGGATGTTGTTCCTGAGAGCAAAAACAAAAAGATGGAGATGTACATTCCTTTCTCTCACATGTGCCTCTGTAACCATGGCTGGGAATTGGTACATAAGAACCAACTGTTCCCAACAGAGAAGAGTGATTGCTGTCAACTCCTATACGCTATATATTGCTTCCTCCTTGACACCTAGTCTCACGTTAGGATTATCACCTGCCAGGTTTTCTAAGAGGTTAGTTTATAAAACAAGTTTATAAACTTCTGTATATAATAGTGAAAGAGTGAGCATGCACGTGTGCGTGTGTATATATATATTCCATAAGGTTAGGAAATTTTAAATTTAAATATAAAATTCCCTAACCTTATGGAAAATTTCTATAGAACTTAGTAGGGATGCAACCACTAGGATTCCAGAGTAATAACTCTAAAAATCTATTGCAGGTAGTAGAAAATGCTTCTGTTTCTACAGAATTTTGAAACTATCCTATACATTTAAAAAATTACATAGGTTGGTTTACAAATCCTATAGAAAGACTACCACTCTTCTTTAGGAATTATTGCAAAATAGTCTGACAATGCACAAAAACTTGATATTTCCAAAACTCCCATTAAGACATTTCAAGAGTTGATCCAGGAACAAGCTCATTTAATTTTTAAGATATATACAATTTTAAGTGAAAAAAGATGTTGACAACATTGATGAAAAGATGGTAGAGAGATTTGGCCAAATAAATTGATCTGTATGAATGGGTCTTTTCAGTGTGTGTAGCGCATAGAAAAAAATGTATAAATTATTGTACTGATAGCCTCTGACTCCAGTGAAGATGCATAATATTTTTGCTACCAGGGGTTGGTCCTCTTGGAGGGGGTTGTGGGTAAAGGGGTACATATTGCTCATGTTGTGGTTGTGTCCAGGAACTAGCCAGTTTGGGGAAGAAGTTGCTAGAGAGTTTCATTTTATGACAAAATGCTAGCATTCTAAAGATCCCTTGACCTGCTTACTTAATGCTCCAGTAAAGGACCTTCATTTTAAACAAAACTGCAAATTAATTTTTTATATTGTTAACAGCTAGACTGTTTTGGACACTATTGGAAAAAATGTTACCCTTCCTCCTATGGTATTGTGATATAGTAAAATATGGATTGTCCTCATAATGGAAGAGCTTTCACATACAAGAGAAGTGCCAAAATGAGGATAGGTACTTAGGAATTTGGTCACCCTCTCTTGTGTATTCAGAGGAAGAGGGCACCCAGCCAGCACGCCAGAATCTTTATCCAAGTTCTTTGAATATTAACCTGATCCTGAATAAATAATGTAGTATGTTAATTGAAACTTTGCCTTAATAAAAAGTTTCAAAATAAATAAATTCCCATTATAAATCTGACCACCTCGAGTAGGGAAAGAGCGAGACTTAGAGAAACTGCGGCATTTCCACAATACTGGATTACACTTGCCTAAAGCAAGCAGCAAGACTTTCAGCAGGCAATACCTGAGACAGCAAATGGATCACAGTTATTGAATAAAGGATGGTAGCAGTACTGGGCTACATTTTAAACAGAATTAGAAGAGTCTCACAGTGACAGGGTTAGAACAGCTTTTTAAGCTTCTGGAAATCCTGTGATGTCGGCCTATGCTTTGTTGAGGATTGGTGAGTTAGTAGGAAAACAGAGCCAGACTTAGGTTTTTCATGTTCTGAGATGAACAAAATCACCTTGAACAATGTGATATGCTAGACAGAGGGGAGACAAGGACAGTTGTGTTCATGTGCTGCTATTTAGCAACCTAACAAAGAACAACAAGACAAGAATGTAGAGCATGACAGAATGCTGGATGAAAAGTCTAGTTTCAAAGTTAGCACTGCTTTTTCCTTGCTCCTTTAATAACTTAATACAAAGAGTGAATTAAAAGAAGCAGTACCTGTTTTCCCAGGAATCCATATTGCTTATGTAAAAACTCTTGGGATTCTATTCTCAAATAAAAGACTGAAACACACACATAAGTGTGTGATGAAAGAAATGTACTTCGTTAATACACAATCAGAAATCAGGAGAAACAGAGACCCGACAAAAGCTGTGGACTGGAATAAGATGAAGGCCAGATGTGAGAATGGTTAACAACACCCAACAACACTCAGAAGTGTTGAGAGTCTCT